CCCGGTGAATGTTAAATTCAATTTCATTATTTCTTTGTCTGTTTAACTGGATAACATTGATATCATGACTACTTTTCCCACAATGAGATGGTTTAAACCCCTGGTAACTCAAAGACACTTCGGCGAGACTAAAATTTATGGACGAACTAATCAGATATAAGATAAATGATCATAATTCTAATTCATCGTTCTGATTTGTAACCCTCATTTAGTCCTAGTTAGTGGGTGGATATTCTCAAAGTAACTTTAATGTCGCTCAAAGGTCGTCCATCAATTATAGTCTTACCAACAATTCTAGTATCTAAATGACCAAATAATTTCGGACAACTAGGCTTTTTGTTACTGTTTGGCTGTTATTAATTTATAGAATTAAATGTATTGTTTTAAAAATACGTTTGAATATTCGTGCACTAGGTGATTAATGAACACTAGTTGTATATAATAATTGAGTATATTTTAGTGAACCAAGTGGTAAAATGGAATGATGAATATAAGCGTAGTACTTCATTGATATATGTATTTTAATTATTAGTTTCGGAACCAACATTTCTGACAGTCAGCTATTCTGTGTTCAAGACTCAACGCTATGTACCACAGGGAATAAAATCCAGGATTATCAGCTGTCTAGGTGCAACAGGTAGTATCAAATAACCAATAAAAATAGATGTACATGACGTTTTGAATATGTGTTATTCATTTACATGGCTGAAATTCTTGTGTTCTGCTTCATGTGATGTCGTAGTTTCTCAAGCTACTGATTCTCTATTTCTTTTATTTGTTAAACCATTTGCAAGACTAATGGAAGTATATAACTTTAAAATGAGTTACTATAAACAGTGATATGAATTTCATTCTCTCCGTTACATTGAAAAATATAACTTTTAAACGTTTGTTGAATTGCATTACCAACAGAAGGTCTTTTCAAAGGCGACAAACAAAGTTGCATAACTCATATCTAAATTAATACACTTCAGTGATTGATTCATAAATTAAGTTAAAAGTTTTCTGAAATATAATTAGACAAGTAAAAGGATAGATTAAGAAATAGTTGAGTTCGTGAGTCAACTAAAGCTAACCCACCATGAAAAAACTAGAAGTACTGGACTCCTCAGAAGTGCACATTTATTATTTCGCTCATGGGATTCGAACCAAGGACCTTCAATCTCAACCATTAAATGTGTACAATCTCTAAAAAAACCCTCCTTCAGATGAAGAAATATCAATCTGTTGGTAAGTTTTCTAAACTGCAACTAAGAAACCGAATACACTGTTGATTCTATGAGTTTTGAACTGGATGCTTAGATAAAGGTACAACTATTATTTACGTTTTATCAATCTACTAAATAGTAAAATTCAATTTGACAAAAATTCTAGTCATTGAATTTAGTAAAACAAAACATAACTAAAGCTGAATAGATCATATGAACACATGTTATTGTATTGTTTTGATAACTCTTAGACACCTATTCAAGTTTTAGCTGATATGAAGCAAATTTGGTAGATTAAACGTTTGTTAAAACTTACATTGACAGTTTATCCTTCCAAACAGATGGAAAGTAAAGCTGAATATACATGTTATCAATTGATTAAACATTTACTTATCCATTTTTCTTGTATCAAAATAAATGAGTAAGGTAAATAAACATGTTTTAAATAAATTATTGAGACATAATAATGTTAAAAGTTGAATTCATGAGTCGACCTAAGCCAGATCACTGTTGAAATTACTATAATCCCTAGAAAATCTCAATTCTGATAATAAACATATGCTCACCGGTGACTAGGTTCAAGCTGTAACTCGTGGAGTTCTGGTGAGAAGCCGCGACTAGTGTAGTTCGATCCGTGTGAGGTTTGAGACAGTTATCTACCACACAATGGATGAAGAGTTTAGTAAGATCATGAATCGATTGAAGTTAGACATTAACACCGTTGGATGTCAACCGGCTTAGTGATCTAGTGATTAAGTGTTCGTCTGCGAGACCGGAGGTCCTGGGTTTGAGTTTCGCGTGCGGGTTAGTGGGTATGCACCTCCGAGGAGTCCCATACTAGGACGAAATTGCTTTCAAGTGCCCTTAGGTTTTCTATGGTCGTCTAGATGTATATTTAGTTTACAATAAAGATAATTTTATAAACGAAAAACCACAAACTATGACTGACTATATTTAACAATGCTTTGGAAAAAGTAATTTTTATCACCATGTGTTTTTAATTTTAAAAACAGTGTCCCGATAATAGTGTTAACTTTGAGATGAAATTCTAATTTGCCTAATTTGGCAACATAGACAAACTACATCTTTAGTGAAGGAAGACTTAAGTGAGTTGACATTCTAGTCTCATAAGCAGAACTATACAATGACCAGATCTAAATACTTTGGTTTGCATTGTCTGCTATGTTTTAATTCACTGTGTGCACTATAAATAAAATTAAAAGATGAACGATGTAGTGGAGTCCAGTACAGAATGATATTTATAGTTATTTTACGACATTTTCATGACAGAAACCCAGAGCTCAGACTGATCAGTAACATTTACTACATAATATAGTAATACGATATTCAAAACTTCTTCCGAAAAAAAATGTATATCACCTTTATGTGACCATAATAACTCAGAAGTTATTATAGCACGGTAGGGAATCAAACTGTAAGCAATGCAAACATTCTAAGCGTTTTTTGTTTACTCATCCGAGTAAATAACTAAAATGGATTCGAATTTTAAACTACGTTATTCAAAAGTGTTTAGCACAATGTTGTACAATATTAATATTCACAATGCTTACGGTGAGACTATAATTTATGGACGATATTCGAGTGACGCTTAACTGGATTTGAGAATGTCCACATACTGACTAAGTACAAATGAGGGTTTTAAACCAGTGTGAAGGATAAGGATTGTGATTTACAATTGATGGTTTGGGGTATGGATTAGATTTAGGGTTTTCATCACGTACTGAGATCATCTAAAATGTCAAGACGCTATTTAGTCAAATGGATACAGAATTTCGCACTAAAATTCAAAACCTGTTGTCTTGTATCTGATTGGTTTGTCCGTGAATTATAGTCTCGCCATGTTTACGAATCAATAAAAGGAGCTCAGAATGAAAGCACCGCAAACCCCTTTCGTTAATCCTACTTACTATTGATAAGAAATATCCTCATTCTTCAAACATGAACTCAAAACACTAAATTACAAGTTTGGGGGTTGTGGAGATTGTCAAGTTTTTGATTGAGATCATGAACCGATTGATGTTAGACCACCAGTGAAAACCTGGAAGCACTGAACGGCCGTTTCGTCCTATTGTGGGACTCCTCAGCATTGCGCATCAATGATCCCGCTCGCGGGATTCGAACCCAGTGCCCTCAATCTTGCGCGCGAACGCTTAACCTACTGGACTACTGAGCCGGCATCCAATGGTGGTAATGTTTAACCTCAACCAATCCACGAAATTGTGCGACCATCTTCCATTGTACTAAGGTAGACACTTGTTTCTACGCGACACGAATTAGCTCCACTGGTCACGGGTAGGACTGAGGGACAAGTAGAAATGGAGAAATATTGAAACATAAAACCCATATATATATTTTTAAAACTAAAACATAATACAAAGGTGTCATCCTGCCGAATGACTAGTAAAAATGATTTTACAAGTTGATAGCACAGAAACCTGGGTTTATCAACTCCTTAAATGACCATAAGAATTACGTCACTTTATAAACTGTAATCTTAAATGAATAAAAAGGCAGTTAGTGAAAATGGCAAAGTTTTACTTCAAGATTACTGTAGTAAAGGAAATCACAAATATTCTGTATAGTTACATGTAATCTATTCAATTATGTAAACGTCTATAAAGTTTGTTGACAGTTGTTCTGGAACTCAAAACAATTGGCAACCAACACCAAAGTCAGGATTTTCAATACAAATGTCAAGACAGTTCTACTGTATGTGGCGAAAACTTGGAGAACTACGAAAGCCATCATCCAGAAGATACAAGTGTTTATTAACAGTTGTCTACACAGAATACGTCGGATTCATTGGCCAGACACTACCAGCAACAACCTACTGTGGGAGAGAACAAATCAGATTCCAGTGAAGGAAGAAATCAGGAAGAAGTGCTGGAAGTGAATAGGACACACATTGAAGAAAGCACACAATTGTGTCACAAGGCAAGCCCTCACATGGAATCGTCAAGGCCAAAGGAGAAGAGGAAGACGAAAGTGCATAATACGCCGATAAATGGAGACAGACATGAGAAGAATGAACAAAAATTGGATGGAACTAAAAAAGAAGGCCCAGGACAGCGTGGGTCGGACAATGCTGGTCGGCGGCCTTTATTACAATGGGAGTAACAGGCATAAGTAACTATAAAGTTTTGTAGATAACAAGAGAGTTTGTTCAAAATCGACCAGTCTAATGAGGGTGATGGAAAAACAAACACAGAAATATCGACATTTTTTTCAAAGATACTTAAAATTTAAACTACTGATCATTATTTGTATGTCATAAGAAATGAGTCTAACTGTAAATTTTAAAATTAAAAGCATATAAGGGGTATATTTATTCAAAGATACACCTTAATAATAACAAATAAATATGTCAAACATTATTTCCATTATCAGAAGGGGTTTTGTGGAGATTTAAGTCATTTCAATAGTTGAAATCTTGAGTCAATCGAAGCTGAGAGGTCCCATACTAGGACGAAACGACTGTTCAGTGCTTCCAGGTTTTCCATGGTGGTCTAGCTTCAATTGACTCATGATTTCAACTACTGAAATATTTCCATTGTATAAAACACAACTCTTTAGTGTATTTAACAGTTTAAAGTACATTTTTCAAATAGAAATTAGTAATGTAACTCATCTGTTTCAATCAACAACAAAAAAAGATGAATGTAAGAATTTCAAAAGTAAACATTTCATTCAATTCGTTATAGCTTAATCATATCATTACTATCTTATACACATGTAAACCTCCTCGTATATATATTCTATTCTTTTTTTTAGATGACATTACATTCCTGGAACTTTTGTATCCTCTTCTGTCAACTGGTAACTTATACAGTTTTATATATACATATATAATGAACACTTAAAATGCAAGTTGATTTCATTTTTAAATTCTTCATTTATATTTTATTATTATTACATATTTATATAATTCAATCTATTCCTATTAATGAACCAAATGTATTTTATGTAAATGATGATACAAATGAAGGTCAACGGATAGGTCGTATTACACATTTCAATAATAATCAACATAATAATGCTAAAACCGATCATTTCAAAGCTGTTATTGTACGCGGTAATCGTCCACCAGCTATATATTTTCGTTTAAATGAAAATACTGGTGATATCTATACACGTACTATTATTGATCGTGAAGTATTATGTTTAAAACAATATCAAATCAATGAAAATTTAAATAATATACAAACAGATATAAATATTGATTATTCTCAAACAAATTATCAATATAGATCATCATTATCTAATTCAAAAATTATAAATCAATGTAAATTTACATTTCAAGTAGCATTACATCGTATAATATCAAATCAACAATTAAAAAATGATCATACAATTGAATCAAATTATCCATATTTACCCGAATTTATTGATATTCATATCATTATTATTGATCGTAATGATCATATACCTACATTTCAACCAAATTCTATGATTAATTTATCTATACCAGAATCAGTACCAATTGGTACACGTATACAATTACCATTAGCTTATGATCCAGATTCACCAGAATTTAATATACAACGTTATGAATTATATCCTATAACAATAAATGATTTTGCATTATATATACAAACAACAGATATTATATATAATACAAATTTAATACAACAAATAACTGGATTATATTTAGAAGTGAAAACAATACTTGATCGTGAATTATGTGATAATTATATACTAGAAGTGAAAGCATTTGATTCATCTATAACAAATACAATTCATTCATCTATAAATGATAATCGTAATATATTAAAAATATATTTAACTATAGAAGATATTAATGATAATGGACCAATATTTCAACCACAAAATAATATAACACAATTAGAATCATCTATAGATAAGTTATCTAATACAATAATACCATTATCTATAACCTCATTAACATCAATACAATCAATCAATAGATTATGTTATAAAATTGATGTAATTGAATCTAGTTGGACAAAATCTCCTATATTAAAATTAATAACAAAAGATTTAGATAGTATAAAATATTCATTAACTAAATATGAATTTGCTATCAATACAGAATCTTATATAAAACAATTATTTAAATTAAATGAACATACGGGTGAATTATATTTAAAACAACCATTAGATTATGAAAAACATACTAGTTATACATTTAATGTATTAGCTATTGATAGTGAATATGATCGTCGTAGTAAATTAGATAATAATAATAATAATAACAATAATAATAATAATTTACATTTAGTAAATTCACGTATACAACAAAATAATATATTTACATCTACAGCTAATATAATTGTAAATGTAATAGATATTAATGATGAAATACCTATTATTGAATTAGATTATTTAAGAATAGATGAAACAACTGGTAGACCAGCAACATTTGCACGTATTGAAGAGAATAATGATCCACCACAATTTATAGCTGATATTTTAGTTACTGATCGGGATACTAATACACTTAATAGTCATGTAATATGTACACTAATAAATAAATCAAATAGAATACAAAATAATAATAATAATAATCATAATAAAACAGATATAATTAATAAATCATTTCAATTAACTGAAGTTAAACGACAACCTGGTTTAGTACAATATAATCTATTAACTATAAGTAGTTTAGATAGAGAAATAAATGGTGCCATGTTACGTGTAACTATTCAATGTATTGATTCTGGTGAAATAAAAAAAACATCTGAAGTTGATATCATGATACATATTATAGATTTAAATGATAATATTCCATCTATACAATTGATATCACATAATTTACATAAAACAACAAAATTAAATGATAATATAATTAATTTAAAAGAAAATACACCAACTGGTACAATTATTGCTTATTTTAATATAACTGATATAGATTATGGTGAAAATAGTCGTACAACATGTAAACTTTTATCAATAAATGATCCATTATTATTATTAAATATAAATGAATATTTTCATATTGATCCAATTACATGTAATTTAATTACACGTAAACCAATTGATCGTGAATTCACTTATCCACCATTAAATGAAATTGGATTAATAATTGAAGTAAATGATCATGGTCAACCAATACATAAATCAAATATAAATATTAAATTAAAAATAATTAATGAAAATGATAATAAACCATTATTTCAACAAAAATTTTATCAATTTACAATAAAAGAAAATTTACCAATTGGTGTCAATGTTGGTCAATTAATTATTAGTGATTTAGATGGAGATTATGATCAATTAATTGTAAAATTAAATAAACAAGAACAATTACCATTTCAATTATGGAAATCAATAATTACATCACCATCATCATCATCATCAATTATAAATCAATATGAACCAAATGTTATTATATATTATTTAAATACAACAAAAATACTTGATCGTGAAGAAAAATCAATATATGAATTTGAAGTATATGCAAATGATATAATAGATGATAATCAATTATATAATCAATATAAATTATCAATAAATAATAATAATAATAATCATAAAACAAGTACAACAGTATTAGTTACAATAGAAGATGAAAATGATAATGATCCAGTAATAATATTTCCACAACAATCAGATAAAATATTTATTATATCAAATTTAGAAAAAAAATATTATCAATTAATGACAGTTAATGCAAATGATAAAGATCCTACATCAAATACATTTATATTTATGTTAGAACAAGAAGATTTCATAAAAATCAATAATAATAATAATAACAATAATACATTAAAAACAATTCAATCAAATCAATTAAATATAGATCATACAAAATCATTATCATTAGATTCAATAAATAAATCACCAATAAATTCATTTTTAGATATTGATCGTAGTTTAGGTACTATATATTTAAATAGAGATTTACAACAAAATGATACAGGTACATATATTTATTATATAATTGTACATGATAGTATAATTAATCCACGTACAGCTTCACTTAGATTTATTGTTAAAATAGAATCAATACCATCATATATAAATCAATTAAAATCAAATAATTTATTAAAAAATCAATATAATGAAAATATATTAATGAATACAAAATATATAGAAACAAATAATGATTATACGACTTATTATACTAATAAAAAATTATATAATTCTTCTAATTTATTATTATTATCATCACCATCATCTATATTATATTCATCATCTAAACAATTCACACATCGTTTAACTAATGATACAATATTAATACTTTCATTAGGTTTAATATTATTAATATTATTAGCTACATTATGTTTAATTATATTTGCACGTCATTGGTCATCGAATTCAACAATACAAAATCATTCTATAATAACATCAGATAAAATTCATTGTTCTAAATTATTTTGTTTGAATACATCAAATCATAAACAATTAAATAATAATAATGATAATAATATGAGAATGGATAAAAAAGAAGTTATGAGCATTTTACAACCAACACATTCCCATTCCTATTCCTATTCTTATACTCATTCACCAAATACACATAATACTTGTTCACCAATTAATTGTAATAATAATAATAATAATAGTAATAATACAATACAATCATTAAATGATTCATATAAACAAAAAATAATAGATAATGATAATATTTATTATCATGATTGTAAACAATTTACATTATTACCTATTATAACAAGTTCATTGAATTCAATTAATGAATTATATCCAATAGATGATTATACAACATTACAAACAATAAATACATGTAAATGTTATACACCATCAACAATAAAATCTACTACATATAATATAAATCATGATATAAATGATTCTATTATAATACAACCTATAAAACATAATACATTGCAATTAAATCAATTTACTACTACTACTAATAATAATAATAGTAGTAGTAGTTTTAATAGTAATAATAATAATAATAATAATCCTATTTCATACTATACAAGTTTATCACCTAGATTAAAATCGGATCATTTAATTGAAAAACGTAAAGTAAGAATTATGTCAATGAATGAAAATATTGATAATGAATTAGAGAAAAATTCTCCTTCTGAATATTTAACAACTTGATTATTAATAATAATAACAATAATACTATTGAATATGTAAGTAGTTTATTCATCATTTTATTAATATAAATCATGATATTAGAAGGGGATTTGTGGATAGTATAGTAGTTTTTAATAGTTGAGATTGTAATTCAATTGAAGCTAGACCAACATGGAAAACTTGAAAGTACTGAACAGTCATTTTATTCTGTTGTGGGGCTCTTTAGCAGTATGCATCCACGATTCTACATCGCAAGATTCGAACCCAAGTCCTATAGGTCTCGAGCACGAACGCTTAAACACTAAACTACTGAAATGGCCGGTATCTAATGGTGTTAATGTATAAATTTAAACAATACACAAAATCAAGTGACATATTTCTTATTGTCATCAGTGAGTTACTATCTGATAACAGACCTGGTTGAACTCCACTGGTCACTACTTCTCACTAGAACTCCAGGAAATACCTTTTGAAGCCAGTGTCTAATGAGCATATATTGATTCGTATCAGAAGAGGTTTTGTGTATATTATAGTAGTTTTTAATAACTGAGATCGTAAGTCAATTGAAACTAGGCCCCCATGGAAAACCTGTAGGTATTGGACGGCTGTTTCATCCTGTTGTAGGACTCCTTAACAGTATGCATCCATGATCCCGTCTATCGAGATTCGAACCTAGAACCTGTTGGTCTCACGTGTGAACGCTTAACTAATCTTTTCAGGTTTTTTAGATATTAATGAAAAGTATTACTGATAACAAATGTCATTTTTGAGTAGATATTGAAATGATTTATATATCATTACATTTCATATAGCGTTTTTCTGGTTAGTTTTTTTCTGCGAGTTAATTTTCTATGGGATTGGGTCGCTAATCCCATGTCCAATCCTCCTTCATTATCCAAGATTGTGATACGTAGTAGACACAGAGGGGCTCCAGTTGGACTTGTAAAATTTCATATACGTACATCTTTCCGAATTTTGTTTGGTTCCATGGGTAAAAATATAAAAAAATGTTTAATTCTATAAAATAAAAGCTAGTTCAAATATTAGATAAATAAAGTTGAACAAATTACTCAGTTGTTTAGAGGTGTTACCAAAAATGTAACCTCAGAAATGTTAATAGTTCCAGTTATAAAAAAATGATAATCACTAGGTTACCTTCCACATAATTACTTCACTTGTATTCTGACTTAAATGTATAGATTAGTTTCTGTGGAGCAGTATTAGTTCTGTGAATATTACAGATGTGCTATATTAATGAACCTTATATCTATATACTTTTAAGGACTAGTTTAATAATATAATAAAAATAGTTGAATAAAACTAGGATTTCTTTCAGTTTAGATGTTAATACCATACTGCTATGTGATCTGAATAGATCTGTTTATTATGTGGGGTAGTGGAGTTTGTGAGTTTTTATTAAGATCATGAACTGATCAAAATCACACCACTGAAAATATACGAGGATCACATAATATCGTGAACTGGTCAGTGTTAGACGTTAAAAATCGTTGTTTGCCGAATCCGTGGACTAGAGGTTAAGTGTGTTCGCGCGCGAGATCGAGTCACAGGGTTTGAGTTCAGCGTGTGGGATCGTGGATTTGCACTGCTATGGAGTCCCATACTAGGATGAAACGGCTGTTTAATGTATATAGGTTTTCAATGATGATCTAATACAGATCGGTTTGTGATCTCAATTATGTTAATTGTTGTTTTTTAAATATCTATAAAATAATCAAGTATAGCTTCTCCTAGAAATTTAGCTTACTTCATAGTCAGTCATGCTATTTCATCACCGTATATTATCGTCCAATAATAGTACCAACTAACTAAGTCTAAATATGTTTTGTTTTCGTAATACTAAAATTTATTCCAGATTAATTCACCATTTATTACAAACCACCTACCATATGTTATACATTGAATGGTTAAATAAGAATGAAACACTTTACCTATAGCTTAATGAGATTTCATGCAAAAAGTAGATGTTCTGAAGTTTTGTTTTTCTATAACGGATACAATGAACGATTGCAAAAAAATTTTAAACCTTAAATAAGAACATAATGAAGTACTATACTGTTATCATGAATTTATCCGCCTTCAAATAAGTTTCTCACTAAATCAAGCGATCAGTCGTACTCAGCAGTTTAATATTCTCAAGTGGCTGCAGATAACTTACATGTAGCCCTGAACCGAGGTTTCGCGTTACGCGGCAAACATTAGAAGGTCTAAATCCATCCTTGAGGATACCCATGCTCTCCGTGCTGTCTAAACTTTCGTAACCCAGTGTCACAACCAAACATATAAATGAGATCAGATATGATGAAAACATATCGATGGTAGTCTTTGAAACTAGTTCAAGTCTACCAAGGGATATAAGCGTTATAAAAACTGCTTTATATTTATTTTCAGAATGGGCGTTTGTGAAAATAGTAGTAATTTTTATAGTTGAATTCATGACTTGATCTAAGCTAAACCACCATTAAACACCTGTAAGTACTAGAATGTCGTTTCGTCCTAGTATGAAACCATTTAGCAGTGCGCATCCACGATCCTGCACACGGGATCTGAACCCAACACATTCGGTCTCGTGTGCTAACACCTAATATCTAGACCACTGATCCGACCTGCATCCAACAGTGTTAATGTTTAACTTTAATCGATTCATGATCTAGCTCAACCATTCATCCATTGTCTGAAGTGGATAACTGTCTCACACCCAACTGTGATTGAACTCCACTGGCCACGGCTTCTCACAAAAACTCCAGGAAATTCAACCTTTAATTGGAAGCATGTAAAACCGGAATTTGAATTATAACTCAATATTTATGAACTGAGTACGTTAACCATTGAATCATTACTTTACACGATAAGTCTCAATTGCAATTAGATATATAAATTTATACGAAAGTACGTTCTCGAATTTACATTGTCCATGTCACATTAATCTATTCTACCTAAGAGTTACATTTCACTTGTTTATATATCTTTGATTACTTTAAGCGTAGGGTCAAGACTGATATCTACAAACTGATGATTTACTGTCAACTGTTTGCATTGGCATCGCTGAACTGTCAAGACAACAGCTTCATATAATGACTTTTCGAAATCCATCTCGAAGTAATTCATTACATGAAGATTTCTTTTGTTCTCACCATAAGAAAAATCGGATATTCATCGATTGTATTTTGTATGCATCGACCGGCGCACATTGCCAAAAAGTCTTGATGTGGAACGACAAATCCATATAGTCCTCCTCGACTTTGATTAGTTGACCGGCTGATATCAATACATAATGAAAATTACTTCAAAATTAATCTAATATTCAGAAATAACTTTGTTAAATAAAAAGTAATTTCCCATTAAATTCATTTTCCATTATTTGTTTAAATCTTCCAACTGATGTTTAGGACTGTAGTTGATCAATCTCTTATTGGTATATACGCATTATGTACGGATTGCCTTGATATTACCTTAAATCACAAGCATTATAAGCAAAGATGGAAGATGGATAGCAATATAATCCTGAATTTACGTTTCCTCCTATTTAGAACTCGTCAGCTAGATGTACCTGAATCCCAGAGTTGATGTTCACTCCGAGATTCAAACCATGCTGAGTTCGTGCACGTCATGAATTCCACTGTTATCTACCATCTATCTTTGCTTATAATTTTTCATTAGTTTCTAATTTAACATATTAATTAACATTTGCTGATTTATATTTCAAGTAAATTACAACTATTACTTACATTAGTTACCAATGTCTAGAATTTTAAATAATCAACATTAGTACATTATTATTCTATAATTATTTGATAATTAACATAAATTACATTAATGATTAGTTTTATAGGAAATGATAGATGATTGTACTATTGAAATATTGGACAACGATAAGGATAAGAATCTATCATTACCATTTACATTCTCTTTAATATTATGACTATTACATTCAATTAACACAAATGTCAAGATATAGAATGTCTAACTTATGAATGGTATTTATATAATCTAGATAAATAATTGAATAAATAAACACTCATATACATTCACTCACCTACACACATACACACAAATAAAAATAGCATCCTTATAAAGATACTAATCAATTTGTAATAATCAAAATATAATGAGTATCTTTCTTTTCTATTTTCATCTTTGTTTGTAATGAAAGGTTCAAGATCCATGTCTATTATCATTGAAACATTACTAAATAGAAGAAGTATTTGAAAAGATCATGAAGGATTCCTTTTTCATACATTTTGTTTATGTATATACATTCATGTGTGTGTACATTTGAGATGGTGGTGTATTTTCAAACTGATTCAAAGATTTTCTTATAATATATAAGTGTAGTTCTATACAGAAAATATATAAGATAATAATGATATGTAAGATACTAATGTAGTGAATACAAACACCAATGGGGACAATCGAATGTATTTAACAACAAATTACAGTATTTGTTAATAAAATTTAATAACCATATAATAAATGCTCCATTTGCAAAATGTCCATCAATTGTCTTAAAATGACTCAGACTATATTGTTCTTGCATTTTCATACACATTGCATTCTGTTTCCATTCTTTACTGTTCGATCCTGTTATCTCTCCGCTGCAAGACATTCTGTTCATGGCTAACGTCATATACTACTTATGTCAATATAAGTAGCACACACCACATTAATACAATCGATATCATTGAAATGACTTTAGTTGTATAATACTCAGAAATCTTTAGAACACAATAGATCACTCGATTACTTAGAACTAAGTAGGTCTAAATAAGTTTAGATCATCTATCATTTGTGAAACATTTAGATATATATTTCATAGTAATACTAATACTGATATATTCTGAAAAAATCATATACTAACTGTTAATATTTTGTGGATACAATCAAAGTGTAATATAAGTGTGACTATGTTTTACTGATTTCAAGTATCTCCAAGTTGTAACTCTTCATTTCTACAGCAATTTGAAAGACTTTCTTGATCTTTCATATTGTACAAGCATTCCATT